TGGAAGAATAAATGAAGAGTAGGGCTGTGCACGCGATCAAACGGCGATACGGACGAGTGTGTGTGAATATTAAAGCACTGCTGTGTAAATGTGCAAATTAATGTAAAACAATACATAAAATATTAAGTTGTTAAAGTTTCAATTGAGTAGACATGCCTCTTGATTATTAATCAATTACATTTAATAAAAACATTAAATTCAATTCAATAGCATTAAATTGAAATCCAGAAAAATTTAAACGGAAGACACCGAATTTACATTTACATTTAGTTATTTAGCAGACGCTTTTATCCAAAGCGACTTACAAATGAGGACAACAGGAGCAATCAAACTCAACAAAAGAACAATGATATACAAGTGCTATAACAAGTCTGTTAGCTTAACGCAGCACACGCAGCAAGGGTTTTTTAAATTATATAATAAATAAAAAGAAAACGGATAGAATATAAAAAGAATAGAGCAAGCTAGTGTTAGAGGTCTTTTTGCTTTTGTTAATTGTATAATAAATAAAAGGAAAACAGATAGAATACAAAAAGATTAGAAAGCAAGTTTTTTTTTTTTTTAAGAAAACAAGCAGCAAATGAATAGAGTGCAAGTCTAAAAGGTTTTTTTTTTTTAAAGAATAAAATTAGAATAGAGTGCTAGAGTTAGAGGGTCAAGTAAAGATGGAACGGATGTGTTTTTAGCCGTTTCTTGAAGATGGCTAAGGACTCAGCTGCTGGGATTGAGTTGGGCAGGTCATTCCACCAGGAGGGAACAGTTAATGAAAAAGTCTTTTGGGATGAACAATAATGCGTCGTTCACTTGCAGAACACTAGCTTCTAGAGGCACATAACTCTGAAGTAATGAATTTAGGTAAAGGGGTGCAGAGCCAGTGGTGGTTTTGTAGGCAAACATTAATGCCTTAAATTTAATGCGAGCAGCTACTGGTAGCCAGTGCAAACTGATGAACAGAGGTGTGACGTGCATTCTTTTCGGCTCATTAAAGATTAATCTTGCTGCCGCGTTCTGGATTAATTGTAGAGGTTTGATAGAAGTGGCTGGAAGACCTGCCAAGAGAGCATTGCAATAGTCCAGCCTGGACAGAACAAGAGCTTGAACAAGGAGTTGTGAAGCATGTTCTGAAAGAAAGGGCCTGATCTTCCTAATGCTGTATAAAGCAAATCTGCAGGGATGGACAGTTTTAGCAATGTGGTCTGAGAAATTCAGCTGATCATCAATCATAACTCCAAGGTTTCTGGCTGTTTTTGAAGGAGTTATGGTTGATGAGCCTAACTGGATGGTGAAATTTTGATAAAGTGATGGGTTTGTTGAAACCACAAGCAGTTCTGTCTTAACCAGGTTGAGTTGAAGGTGATGGTCCTTCATCCAGCAAGAAATGTCTGTTAGACAAGCTGAGATGCGAGCAGCTATCGTCGGATCATCAGGATGGAATGAGAGTTTCACTTACCCAGTAATGTGAGAATAACTCTAGAGAGAAAAAGGAAAGACACTTTTGAATAACATTTCCTATGCATTTTTTGTCACAGCCAGTTGTTGGAGTGTCCAGCTTAGCCACCAGAGGGCACTCTTTTTATATCATTGTTTGTGTGTTCTGAACTGCGTTTCCCATAACCCTTTGCACTCATTATTTAGTTCATTACTGCCAGCTGTTTATCATTGACTCATTAGCCTAACCGTCTCGGTCGAATGTCCACTTCTGAAGCCAGATTGGTTGCTGTCCAGGAGGTTGTTCTGTGTGAGAAAGGCTGAGACTTGGTTGAACACAGCTTGTTTAAGTGTTCTTGCAATGAAAGGAAGAAGGGAAACCGGTCTGTAGTTCTCTAAAAGAGATGGCTTAAGAGTGGGTTTCTTAAGAAGTGGGGTTATACGAGCCTGTCTAAATGTTGAGGGGAAAACACCAGTGTGAAGGGATGTGTTGATGTGAGTGAGTGCAGGTACAACGGCAGGAGAAATGGCTTGAAGGAGATGAGATGAAATAGGATCAAGCGGACAAGTAGTAGAATGATTAGAAAGGATGAGTTTAGAGACTTCTGCCTCAGAGAGTGGAGAGAAGGATGGAGAATTTGAATTTAGGAAAAATAACCTATTTCATGGGACCCTAAATATGTAATTTTTGTAAATTGTATGTAATTTTCAGAATTTCGATTAATCCAACATTTTTTTAAATTAATTTAATTTAATTTAACCAAAAAAAAAAAACTATTTGGAAAATAAAGGCCCCCAAATTCCTTTTGGAATTTGAATCACGTCATGCTGCTCTTATTTTAGCTCCTGTAACGTAAGGGTTAATCCACGGCACACACATGAAACCCTTTTAATGCAGCACCTGACACGACGAGAACACTAACACTTCAGCTAATGACTACAAGCATTCATTATGATAACGAGGCACTGAGATCACACTGAGAGACGGTCAGACTCACTGTAGTCCAGGAGGTACAGGTCCGAATGGTCCATGAGGTTGAACTCGTCGCCCATCCCCTGCTCCGGACACGGACTGAAACACAAGAAAACTCAGTACAACAATCCCATAATGCTTCCTCATCAAACGCCACGAAAATGCTCTGATTGCATGACTTTATTTCTAGAAATTCTCAATTTTATTTATTAGAAATCAGAACAGGAGCAAAAGTCTGGAAACACAAACTTATTCCACTCTGTCTTCAGTAGAGCTGAACTGGTTTCTTAATGAATGCACTTTACACAGTTATTGAACTGAATTGACTGGAGCAGAATAATGATAATATTGTCTTGCCACCGCTGCTTCACAGCAGAATTTTGGATTCATTTTGCATCAATGATTCTATTACTGTAAAGCTGCATTGAAACAATCTCTATTGTATAAAGTCATATCTCCTGCTGACGGTTCACCAGTCAACACTAGTCGGGTTTAAACGCACAATCTTTCAGTTTCCCGCTCAGATCTTCAACACGGCCGCTCTCTTCGTCTCATGTTACAATATTGCTAAAAGAGGAAGCTGTAAAGCACACACACACCTTATCAGGCACAAACACACACAGGACCTGCAGGAAACGCTGGAATATCTCACACAAACATCTGCTTCCTGCTGACACACCTGCACTGAACACCACCTTCATCATCATCATCATCTGGAGACCCGTCCCGAACCGCAGCTCCGTCATCCTCCGGTATCTGAGTGCAGGACGTCGTTGGGATTTTACGTTCCTGATCTTGCTTAAACAAACAGGCCGCTGGTTTAAAGGGAACCAGAGTGGTTTGGGTCTCGGGAGGCCAGCTGTGGAGCTCATTACACCCCCGACCCACCGGGAGGTCAGCAGCCCGGATTACACAGAGACCTTTATCAGACCCGCCGGCCGTTACATTAACGTACGCACGCTCCTATTTATTTACCTTCATCTGCGGCGCACTGCTCAGAGTTAATGAAACGTGCCCTATGAACCCTGAGAACACAACAAACACAAACCACAGACTCAAAGAGACACCAGAGCATCACAGAAGAGCAGAGGACTCATCTCAGCACGACACATTCACAGATTTCACTGTGCTTCGTTAACGCTGAGCCTCACTGGAGAAACTCCGGCAGAAACCAATGTGCACTTCATTCATACAATGACATCAAACACAAAATCAATAATTAATCCGAGTCCATAATCCATAATAACTCTTCCTCCAGTGAAAAAGTGCATCTGCTGTTGTCTCTCACATCACAATCCAGCCACATATTAGTTTAGAGCTGTTTAAACGCTGCTTGATCTGTGCAGATTTCTCTCCTGATTCACACCAGAACACTTTTTCACTGGAGGAAGAGTTATTATGGGTTATGGACTCAATGGTATTTTAGTTTAAAACATCTTAATGCTGGATTAGTTTCAGCTTTTGTCTTCTCCAGATGTTAACTGATGGACTGGCGTGCTGTGCATTACTTGTGGATTATTGTGAGGTTTTTATCAGCTGTTTGGACTCTCATTCTGACGGCACCCATTCACTGCAGAGCATCCATTGCTGAGACACTGATGCAATGCTACATTTCTACAAACCTGATTGATTCTGTTATTTTCCTGTTTATTTCTGTGAAGCTGCTTTGACTTAATCTGTATTGTATGAAGTGCTATAGAAATAAAGGTGACTGGACAGACTGAGTCTCGGTATGTTGAGTTCTGCTGGTTTCCAGTAGCAGAAATGACTGAATGATCACAGACTGACAGCAGCCGGATGATAAAGACAGCGAGCGGCTCTGATCCGCTCCGAATCCTCTCAGAGAGACAGACAGAAACAGACAGACCGACAGACGGGTCAGTGGTGAGACAGCGATGTGACCAGAGCGCCTGACGGTGTGAAAGTGTTTTGTGAGTTTATGAGGTTTCCTGGTGTTTGACGGCTCATTTGTGTTACATGATCAGCAGAGTATCATTGAGGAGCTTCCTCCCCCTGCACACACACACACACACACACACACACTCCCCCGCTGCCCTATGAAAACACACTCACTGTTGGACGTAACACCACTGGGAATGTCACTGGAATCCTCTAAAGCTTCTCTGGCTACAATCACCTCATTAGCCTGAGCGTCACCTTCTTAAAAGGTCACTAATGAAGAAATGAAAGCCCCCCGTTTGATTTGTTTGGCCATCCGAGCCCACTGAGAGGGAGACACTGTTTCTCCACAGAAACCTTCAAACTTCCTTCACAGCAGGATCTCACACACACACACACACACACACACACACATTCACACACTCACACACTCTTTCACACACACTCTCACACACACTCTTTCACACACACACTCACACACACTCTTTCACACACTCTTTCACACACACACTCTTTCACACACACACTCACACACACTCTTTCACACACTCTTTCACACACACACTCTTTCACACACACACTCACACACACTCTTTCACACACTCTTTCACACACACACTCTTTCACACACACACTCACACACACTCTTTCACACACACACACACCCGTGTGAAAACAAGAATCAGCACAAATTATCGGAGAAATGCCCTTATCTCTCGGCTGTAAACAAGGGAACTGGGAAAACAACGGATGTTTGGGGCCTCGGAGGCGACTGACTTTTGTATGAAACGCAGAAAGTGAGTTTTGGATGGATGGACTGGGTTACGCTCTCAACTAACCCAGATCTGGCAGAAAATATTCTGACATCTACAAATCTAGTGAACATGAAGAACACAGACGTTTATCTGAGACTAGTAGAGAGCGGCTCTGCACCGCACGAACTAGCTGTTCAGTTCTGTTAGTTCACTGTCATTATATACACTTTCAGAAGCAGGCTGTTCATTGCCTGGTTTCTCTCAAGGTTTTTTCTCCATTTCTGACACATGATGGAGTTTGGGTTCCTTTCCACCGTCACCTTTGGTTTGCTTAGTCGGGTTTAAAAGACGCTTAATATTCAGTAATGTTACTGATATGACTGCACTGACACCATCGGATGAGAACAAAACTTTATGGCTGCATTACAGCTGAATTGAATTTGTATCATATTTCATGAAGTTTGCTTCACTGATTGATATTTTCCTGTTTATTAGTGAGCTGCTTTGAAACAATCTGTATTATACAAAGTGCTATAGAAATAAATGTGACTCGAGTTTCATTCCTGAAGCAGCATTAAACACTCAGAACAGGAGTGAGATCTGGATTAAGGGCAGTGTGATGCGGCCGACCGCTGGACAGCTGAACATCAGTGTCACACAATCATCATGGAGAATCACAATACTGGCATTTCATCAACACAAAACACACTTTACATTCACAGAGACTCACAGGGGAGCAATGAAGACGATCTGAATGTGACGTGCGGCTCAGAATCAATGGATCCGTCACATGATGCTGAGAGGCGTGAGAGCGTCTGCAGATCATCTTAAGTGCGTTTCGTCTAGCCAGCGACGATTTAAGCTGAAACTCTGTACGACTGACTAGAGCCGTCTACAAACACACACTGCAGGAGGCACACACACACACACACACTCACACACACACTGCAGGAGGCACACACACACACTCACTCACACACACACACACACACACACACACTCACTCACTCACTCACACACACTGCAGGAGGCACACACACACACACACACTCACTCACTCACTCACACACACTGCAGGAGGCACACACACACACACACACTCACTCACTCACTCACACACACTGCAGGAGGCACACACACACACACACACTCACTCACTCACTCACACACACTGCAGGAGGCACACACACACACACACACTCACTCACTCACTCACACACACTGCAGGAGGCACACACACACACACACACTCACTCACTCACTCACACACACTGCAGGAGGCACACACACACACACACACTCACTCACTCACTCACACACACTGCAGGAGGCACACACACACACACACACTCACTCACTCACTCACACACACTGCAGGAGGCACACACACACACACACACTCACTCACTCACTCACACACACTGCAGGAGGCACACACACACACACACACTCACTCACTCACTCACACACACTGCAGGAGGCACACACACACACACACACTCACTCACTCACACACACACACACACACACACTCACACAGAAACACACACACTCACACAGAAACAAACACACACACACACACACACACACACTTTCACATTGAGCAGCATTAACTACACAGAGCCGTTGTTGACTGACGAGCTGCGCAAAAAAATTGCGCGAATATGAACGTGGTTTTGTGCAGCTCGTCAGTGAACAATGGCTCTGTGTAGTTAATGCTGCTCAATGTGAAAGCCTGAAGGTGATGGAGATTTACCGCTGATTAAAGAACCGGCTTTCTGACGAGCTGCGCAAAAAAATTGCGCGAATATGAACGTGGTTTTGTGCAGCTCGTCAGTGAACAATGGCTCTGTGTAGTTAATGCTGCTCAATGTGAAAGCCTGAAGGTGATGGAGATTTAACGCTGATTACAGAACCGGCTTTCTGACAAGATGCGCGCTAAATATCGCATGCGATTTATCTTGCAGCCCTAACACACACACACACACACAAACACACACAAACACAGAAACACACACAAACACAGAAACACACTCACACAGAAACACACTCACACAGAAACACACACACACACACACACAGGTTTGTTTTGGGGAATTGTGGGGACTCTCCATAGGCGTAATGGTTTTTATACTGTACAGACCGTATATTCTATTGCCCTACACCAACCCTACCCCTAAACCTACCCCTCACAGGAGACTTTCTGCATTTTTACTTTCTCAAAAAAACTCATTCCTTATGATTTTTTAAGCGTTTTGAAAAATGGGGACATGGGTTAATGTCCTCATAAATCACCTTCTCCTTGTAATACCTGTCATACCCATGTTATTATACAAATTTGTGTCCTCATATGTCACAAAAATGCTCACACTCACACACACACACACACACAAACACACAACTTATTTCTGTTTGGCGAAACTAGTGACCAGTTTGTACAATAAC